TATGTCTTTTTCCTCATATCCAAGTAAAAAGTGAACTTTTCTGCTAAGTCTGGTTTTCCTCCTTTGGAATATTTATTGGTCTTCATGAGGTTTATCTGATACAAAAGTATTGCTTGTAGTCATTTCTACTTTACACTGGATGGTGATCAAACAGAATGCAAAGCACCTCATCATTAAATAAACAACATTAATCTGTTATGGTCACAGGATGTAACGTCTTCAGGGTTTGTGTTGGAACCGAACCAGAGTGCACCAGCTGTGAGCCATGGATGTCTTTAAGCCGCAGTTGTGTTTCTGTACAGCTAACATGTTAGCTGCTGTAGTTAGCTATTTGAATGAACTCAGTTTAGAAAAATAGGAACTAGTTTCTGACTGGATTGACGCGTTAACAGCTAGTCACTGAACAGTCAAGACTAAAGTGTATTTCTGCAGATTGCAGTACTTAAACTCTGTCGGTCCAGGTTGTCGCATATTTCTGCTGAAACACAAAACCTGCAAACTTTTCCATTTCGTTGTATTTAAAAACAAAGACTTTAAGAAAATCTTTGAGTATTAGAATAACAGAAATAGAAATAACAGAAATGGTTATGATATTTGTCATGCTGAATTTATTTCTAACTTGTTCCACTTTGACATTAGCTTATCTGTTTGGTTTGGTCTAATTTCTTCTGTCTTCAAACTCCAGTTGAGTTTGGAGTATGGAGTTGCCATAGTTACACTGAGATCATGATAACCAACTATTAACATTCAACTCATTATAAATTAATACTTTTTCTCCAGAGACTTTTAACTTGAAAGGATGAACTTCCTCAACAAATCAGCTCTCTGGAACCCAGTGTTTACACCGAGCATTCTATGGCGAGACATGTACCAAACGTTTACTACTAAAATCTTCAATCGACTGCAGATAAGATACTGACTGGTCATAGATTCTCCAAACAACCCAACTGCAACAAAAAGCTAAATTATCTCTTTTGTGCTCGACCCAATATTCTGATCCACACGACCGATGGACGAGCCTGTGGGTTGACCGGTGACATTATATTTGTTTCTGAGTTAAAACAATACCCAAACGTACCCCTTGTGTACTAAATGTGTTCCGAGTGTGTCTATTTCACTGCTGACCTACATCTACAACTAGTCGACCAACAGATCCTGTGTTTGGAAGTCTGTGGGAGGATGCTGGAAAAGGGAGTTTCATCTCCAACGTTGTCTCCTGCTTCTGTTTTTAAACCGAATCCAACCTGCATCAACTACCACGCCTTCGCCTTCACAAGCTTTGTTTCTGTTGACATGTTTGTAATGGGAGCTTGTTTTCTGTCAATCATCCAGAGGCAACAGCTTCATGTGTAAATTGAGACTTTTTTCGGATGAAGCATTTGGATTCTCTAGACATTTTCTGTACCTTTAACAGTTATTCTTCATAAACTGGTAATGATTTTGGTAGAATTGTATGATATCACTTTTATTTATTACATAAACGCTGAGAAAAGCAAACAAGCATCTGCATTCCCTGTTTCCTGATCCTATCTAATTAAGATGTTTCTAAACAATGTCTTTATTATTCAAGGGAATTACCTCCGCAGACTTACAGGAAGAGCCAATTATTTCTAATTGCTCTGCAGAAGTTTGAGAACTTGCAGCACTTTTTATTTCTATGTGTTTATAAGCAGTTCAGCTTTAATAACCTTACATTTTGAGGATGTTTCTTTTAAAGGTTATGTACCATTTTGCTGGACAGGATGTTTTTCTTTAGCTCACATCTCTGGAGGAACTGAGGGTTTGGGCTGCAACTTGCATTAATTCGAACACTGCAATTCATTTGCATGCTATTTGATCTGGGTTCCCTCCAGATAAAGAAAAAAAAGCATCCAGTGCTAGTCTGGTGTGCATCATGGCCACCAACGCAAGTCGACCCACAGGGAGGATTAAATGTTGCCTTTAGCATCATCAGAACCTCTCAGCAGACTGTGCTGCCGTGTGACATGGAGCAGTGATGCTCTCCATCGAGGATGGAGAAGAAAACGTCCAGAGATGAGACTTTAAGAGAGCAGGACCTATTTCCTGTGAGTGTGTGGAATAAGAAAGTGGGTTAGAGAGCAGATGAAAGCCGTTAAGTGTGGACTTTTGCTGCCACCTTGTGGCCAAAGAGTGAATTTTGACCTGTACCTTTCATGCCACAATTTAAAAAAAAGTTTTTATTTTAACCTCAGGATTAAACTGTATAATATATAAAGTAGTAACATAATGGGATTTATTCGTGGCTAATTAAGAAAAATTTCCTCTCCTTCTTATACTGCCTAAATCAGATGTTCTCAATAATGAAAAGTATGTTTTAATACTTTTAAAAGCACATTTGCATTTTGTAAGAAACAGAATATCTGTTTTTATCTTCAGGACGACTGCTGAGAGCCGATCAAAGCTGCTTTTAAAAGAGCTGTTTATGTCAGGAAATACTGCTTCAGCATTTCTAAACGAGTGTATCATATTAATTTTTAATCAATACTGAAGCAGTTGGAGGTTGCATCAGAGAGCAGGCATTGCTCCTCAAAAGATTAAAGACATCAAAAACGTTCTGGTGAGTTTGAGCTGCAGGCTTGAGATTTTTGCAAGTGGGATGTTGTGCAAAAAGAGGATTTAATCAGAGACATGCTGTAGAAATAGTTTCAAATATACAGGGCATGTTGTGGAGGAGGGAACAGACCCACATGCAGGTGAGAATGCTCAGGATGCAGGGTGGCAGGTTTAGAATAAAAAGAATAGAAAAGAATAGAACAGACTTTACTAATCCCACAGTGGGAGCATGCACTTATACACATAAAAATAACAAGATTACAGGTAAACACACAAAGGCAGTTCACTGTTATTGTAGCCTTAAAATAAATAGGAAACTTGCGTTTCCCATGAACTACGCAGCATAAGGGACACAGACATACTGATGTACATCTGGAACTGCTGGAAATTATTGAACACATACTCAGTGTTGCATTGCAAGTGTGTTATTGTATAACAGGATAATGCCAGTACCAGTTCGCGTGAACTGTTAGTGACAGGAAGACACGACAAACGACTTCAACAAAAACAAGAATCTTTACCCAATTACCGGTACTGCTTTTTTTTACCTGAAGATCTTATGTTTTATCACTGTGACTGCAACACACACACACACACACACACACACACACACACACACACACACACACACGATGGGAGACATGAGATGTTAGTAACCTAAAATGTTTGAGTTTTTATGAGAAAGATTACAGCCTATATTGGATATGAGTAAAAACCAATATCAAACATCCCTAGTTTAAATACACAAGGGCAATCAGGGAAACGGGTGGGTAGTGTGACAAGGGGCAGAAATTCACTTCAAATTAGTTCAGCTAAGAAGACAGACAGCCGGGGCTGAAGGAGCAGCTTTGACTTGTGTTGTTTAAATCCAAAAGTCCTGCATTAGTTATGCTGCAGATTAAATCCTCATTTAGATAGGCCTAATGTTGCAATGATACATAATCTGAAAAGCAGTCATCAGCTTTAACTGAATGGACTCAACCTTTAAAATAATAATCTACATCTGTTGCAGACTCATTGTCTTATCTTTTTATTTTAATTTGTAGTTTTCCACTTGCTCATTTATAAAAACACTCATTCTTACTAGAACAATCCTCAGCTGCTGCTGAATGGTGCATAGATGATAAAATGTTTTGTTTTATTACATTTTCTGATCTAGTTTAATGAAAACTCAGTAAATTCTCTCTTATTTTTATCTATAATAATGTGAATTACTAAACATTGTATGATGAGAAAATAAAGTAACACCTTTTAAGAGTAGTTTTTCAGGCTAAATTGGGATTCCAAATTAATCAATTTTCACTGTTTTGTGAAAAATTTTAAAAAATTTTAAAAATAACTAAAAGGAAAGGAAAATAAAAGACACGAGTGGTTAGGGCCCTGATTTTATTTAAAGGTGCAATAAGAATTCTACAATGAAATAAACACAAAACTAATGTCTCACTTTTGTTGGAAGGATTTCATTCTCAGCCAGTTGGGGGGTTGTCACTGCTTCTCCTCCCAAAACCAACAAAAGAGGTAGTAACTGTTTACACGTTGCATAAAAGACATGTAGTGATGTCAGCAAATGTGGCACGTCACGTGTGCGGCATCTGTCAGAAAGTTCGGCATAGGACCCTCAAGAGGGCAGCTCCCTCCTTCACCTATATGAACAGGAAACAGGCATAATCACATGATTTTGACCATCAAAATACTGGAATCATACAGAAAACAAGACTTGCAAGTCATCCTATTATGTAAATATTTACCTGCAGACCAAATTGTTTTTCAGACACCCACTCCAGGCTGATAACCTCGTGGCCACTTTGAATGTTGCACTGCAGGATACATAAGGTTCAGCAGAATCTTTCTTAGTTGTAATTTGATTTTTAACCCGAGCACAGAACAGTGCTGCAGAACCCACAGCGGCTCTACTTCTGAGTTGTTTCTGAACCATGAACGGTCTTTAAGTGCCTTCTAGTGGCCACACAACCAACCTACTGATGACCCTGCTTCATGTTGTGCTCTGAAACATTAATACATTTCTCTAAATACAAGAAGTTATGGTCATGTTGATCTAAATGTGTTACAAACCATGTTTGCACAGAAAAATATATATTTTTTTAAATTCCAGCGTTTTTTTTTTACTATTTGACTGGCTGTATTAGATTCAGACAACGGAGTGTAAGGTCAAGCTAAGCAGATGAAGAACTACAGAAATGAAGTCACACCACAAGGAAGGTCATGAAATTTATTAGAAATAATCAAAATCCATCACACAAAAACAACCTTAAGTGGTGTACCACTCCTGCTTCTGTGTGTTTTACACCGACACACTGACTCTCACCAGGCCCATCTCCTGCTAGAAAAACAGATTTCTAATAACAATTTTCCAAAAGCTGAGGTTCTAACTTTGGTTTTGGAATGAAATATCAAATATATGCTGATTATTTACAGGAGCTCTCACAACAATCCTAGTTTGTACTCCACCATCATGTGTGGCTCTCCCATCACTTCACTTTGGGCTGGATCTGCAAACACACAGCCATCATGATTAGTTAGGCTTCATGCTAATGTGTCTGCACACATGTTCACACACAGATCTGAGACTCAGACTTCAGCTGACGATATCATAAAGACTATTAGAATGCAGTAGTGTGATAAAAGAGTATATAACTAAATATTTATTTAAACCTGACCGTAAGGAGGTCAGAAAACAAAGTCTACAAAGAGGATGAGGCTCTCACCGCTGAGGATGTCCTCAAAGCCGATGGATTCATCGCTTCCTCGGAGCGTGTCGAGAGCCAAGTTGGAACTCGGTAAGAAAGGCAGACGCTGGATCTGGAAGGATAAAAAAACCAAAGCCTTAAAAACTGAAGCATGCATATGTGGGAGAGGTGATAGGAGGCGAAGCTACCTGTCGTGCTGCTCGGTACTCCATCTGCAGTTTGAGTGGAGCATGAAGACCTTGGATGTTCCTGAGTGTGGAGTAATTCATCTTATCCTGGTTAAGCTGGAACTACAAAGTATAAAACACAAAGATTAGTTAGCAGCCTGTAGAAACTCCATAATAGATAAATTTAAAAAATTAACAAACGATTATTCACTGAGGAATCAGTCTATTGTAACATTACACAGATGACACACACATGCTGATATTTTAGCTGTGTTCAGTCTCATCCTGATTGACCTTTGGACAATGAAAAACCACGGTGATGTCCCTTCATATCAGAAAACAGCTGTAAAACACTACTTACATTTTTCTCTGACAGCTCCAGCGGGTGGCTGGGAAGAAGCTCATTCTTTACGCTCGTGAAGCTGTTAGACAAAAAATGAAAGATTTATTTCATTATCAAAATAACACCGACTTGATTGTCATTAAATAACTGTACACTAGTAGAATATTAGGTTTATATGAAAGCGGTAGTTTCTTACCCGCTGCGTAGAGAGTCCTGCATTCCGTAAGCACCCTGTGGACAAAGTCCAGCGACAGGGACACTGTCCTTCAGCTGGGAGTGGAGTCCTCGGCTATTCTGTAGCACACAAAATCGCATCATGACGTTTAAATCAGCTCATACTGAGCTAACACAAACAGCGAAGCTAACATCAGCTAGACACCAGCACTAATAACCCAAAAGGCTAACTAGCGTTAGCTCCGGTGACTAATCAAATTCAAAATGGGTGCGTTTCAAAGCGCATATTGAATATAATCTACAACATGGAGGGGTTAAGTACACTTATTTATAGTTAAATAGATGAAGTCAGCAGTTAGAAATCTGTAAAGGATAGTTTTAAATTTGGTGTTAAATAATGCTAGCTTACCATTGTGATTTTGTTCCTTGCGCTTTCTTTTTGACCCACCTAAATTTCCGTTTCCTGTAGAACACGTGACATCCGGTGTAGAGCACAGGCCACAGACATCATACGAGTGAGGTGCAAAGGTGTTGTGCCGAAAAGAGCTTAGCTGCCGAAATTTGCATCCCCTATTGTAGGAAGCGCAAAAAATGTGACATGTTTATCTGTGCACTTCTTTACAAAATGATGGTTTGTGGACAGATAAATGAAAGAAATTAGTGTTTCAATCAATCAATCAATCAAAGCTTTATTTATAAAGCGCCTTCTGCAACCCTGTCAGGAAGCCCAAAGCGCTGAACATTGTACAGTTGTATGTAAATATATTGGATAAATCAACAATAAAAGAAATTCAAATTACAAAATACAAATTACAAAATACAAAATGGAAATTACAAGACAGATGAAACATTCTGGTAAAGGACAAATGTGTGAAACACACATGTAGTGTTTGTAAATCTTTTTAAGTAATAAATCTTTAAAAGGTTAGCAATTTTGAGACACTTTGCTGCTTTGTTTTTAACCCACAACAATATACTTAAAGAGCAAGTCACCCCCTAGTATAGGGCTTGTGGTCACACGTGATTATGCATAGCATGCTGGGATGTGCCATGTTGGAAGGCTGACAAGTGTAAACACACCATGAAACAAACGGCACTGGTGCAGAGAAAAAGCTAATTTGGGTGAAAGAAAGTGTTAAAAACATCATTCCCCCCCCCCCCCCCCCCCCCCCCACCCCCCAAAAAAAAGGATGCGGAATACACAGAGATAGGTTAAAAAAGACGTTGGGGACTGGTATGTGGTCAAAATGAGCATTATAAATGGTTTTGATCCACATGAAAGACCCAAGACTGGAGCACCAATGACATATTGTTGCCGCTGCAGTTCTGCATAACGGACATTTTCGGCTTACTTGTTTGCGGTGTGAGCAGATGTAGACGTCCGAATGAGAGGTAAACGTTTTATTTGCTGGTGTTTCTAGTAAAACAATCAAATTTATAATCTAACAGAAGAAGTATAAAAAGAGAAGTTGTGTTGTGTGTGAGAGCGCCTGCATTAGCTCACCGGTATGTGAGTGTAGCCTCTGTGTGTGTGTTTCATGTGCATGTCGTGGTTGAAAGAAAGAAACGATGTATAAAATCATACACTATTTGTAACTTTCCAGAATGAAAATACTCCAGAAGGTGATGTTTGGTCGCCTTGTTGCTGCGATCCAAGCAAGCCAACGAGACTTTGTTAGATATTTGGTCTCCGTGGTTTTGCCTCTAAGCAGGAAAACGGTGAAAAGTTAGCTTGTTTTCCACCTTTGTTACTGGCGATCAAGTGTGTCACCCAACAACAAAGCAATGATTTACTAGAGTTGTGTAATATAACCGATCAACTGAATAATAGAGTAATTTAAGGTGCAAGAACGAGATTGAGGGTGTTGTTTACAGTAGTAACAAGCAACAAATAAAGACTCACACGCCTCCAACAGGACAGGTGCACAACAGTGACAGTTTGAGGCAGATAATTGAAAATTTAACTAAAATGCCCTAAAGTTTTAAATTATTGACTACACGTGTCTGCAGTACGATTAGACACGCATTTATATAGTTTATCAGAAAAAAAAGTTGATTTGGGGATGACACTTCAAGCAAGCACAAAAAAAATCATTTCAAAATACATTAGTCTCAAACGTATGGTGTGATAATTAATATAAATAAATAAATAAAAATATAAAATTCCTACAAGTAGACTAGAAATGTGAATAGTGATCTCACGTGCGTCGGTTGAACCATGGGCTGCACAAAAATTTTGATTGAGGCATATATTATGTCGATGGAGGCGACCTACCCACTATGGCGGTGGCGATGTTACGCTGCTGTCCAGCGTCCAATGGCGCATCTACGTATTCATGTCTATGGCGCAGGCAGCCACAGAAGTTAAAATGCGAAATTGAAACTGAAAATGATTATCGACAGCCACTCCGTTGATTTTCTGGCAGTAGTTATTCCTTGCATGTTGAATCTGACCCACCAGACTCCAGACCTGCCGTCTTTAGATGAAACAAAACCGGAAATAGATCGCTTGTCAGCAACCGGGGGTATAGCTCAGTGGTAGAGCATTTGACTGCAGATCAAGAGGTCCCCGGTTCAAATCCGGGTGCCCCCTAATTTTTCCGACCGCTTGTTGATAAAATTTGTTTATGTTCATCAGCTTAGTGGACGTGGATATTTCTTCAGGAAGTCAATAAAACGTATTTTTCCTGTATTGCAAGTTTCTATATTTAGCAGCATCCCAGTTCAACTTTTACTGAACAGTTTTAGTGACATTTAATCAACTTGACACAAATATATACAAATATTTTTACATGATGTTTTTATTTACAATTCTGTTGATTTATTTCTTCCCTTACTGTTGTCCAGATACCGGAAATAAAGTCTAAACCAGCATTATGTCATTTGTAACTATCCTGATCACATGTGCTTTTGATAAATACTGTTTGATGTATTTCCTTCATTTCTTTTATTTTGTTTTCTTTGCTGAAGAAGTTATTAAACTTGCTAATATTTGGATTCAATCTAAGACAACATGTCCTTTGTCTCTCCTTTCCCCTCGTGACTTCAGGCCAGGAGCTGAGCACAGGGCTAAGCAGCTTTCCTGATGCTGTGAGGCTGCATCTGCATCTGCTCTCGCCACTTATTCCACCTTCCTCAGGATCCACTGATTTCCCTCTTTCCTATTCACTCTCTCTCTCTTTCTTAACATTTTTTTTTCTTTTAAATCGCAACAGCTTATTCTTGCTCATTTTAAATATATTTTAAACATTTTCGAAATGCTTTTTTATATTTTTACAATTTTTATATTTTTTGTTTTTGTGAAGCGCCTCATGATTTTTATCTTGAGAGGCGCTATAGAAATGATATTTTCTTCTTCTTTCTTCTTCTCATGAACCCTCACCCTTTCATTTCAGAAGTTAATAACTTTATGGTCCCATCAAAAACTTAACTGTACTGTAGAGGCTGATGCCAGAGCCTGCATAAGGTGTGTTTGTTGAAATTTGTCCCCACAAAACAATCATTTAAATTACTTAGTCATTTTTAACATATTTATTTGTTACTGTTTCCATCTGCCAGAATACCACAGGTGGATGCGACAACTGATTCAAGAGAGGCTCACGCACGTCCACAGACAGCTCCTGTTAATCGATGATTGATAAATAAGAATGGAAGGAAAGGACAGAGCCTCGTTCTTCTCCCAAACGGAGCAAGAATTATTCATTTATGCCTATGAGGACTACAAAGATATCAGAACTAAATTAGAGACCATCAGTTGCTTGATTAAAGCCATGTAGATCTTGTAATAGATATGGGGAGGAAAGTTGTTCTGAACACAAAGGAAAAAGCTGTATTATTGGGTTGTCATCGATATTAAACTTAAGTTTTTAGCAACACTTACCCCTTACACTTACAAAACATCTTGTAAACAATCGTGTTTTGATGACGGCCATAAGTAGTTCCGTAATCTGATGGCATGTGCTCACATTTTAAATCATTTTCAACTTCTGACTACTCAATATTTGTTAATCAAGAAATTTATTAAACACAGAGATGCTTAGTTTAATTTTTATCTGCAAATATAAACATTTAGATCATTAAATCAATGTTCTTTTATTTAAAACTAAACAGTAACAGTGAAAGTCAACTTCATTTTTAAATGAGACAAACATTTTTATCAAACACTTCAAAGGCACATGATAAAAATGTTCTAACCTAAATATAAATTATTTTTATTTCCATTACAACTGTACACTGTTCATTTTATGACATAATTTTGTTCTTTAAACTTATTTAGCATTTTTGATGCATTGTGAAATTTTGCTAAATTAGTATTAGCTATTCTAAAAGTTAAATCTGGCTAACTTTGACATATTTTATCTTTTAATTTTGTTATTTATGCAAATTTTACTCAATAAAATCTTATAAAGTTGCTCTATAAAATAAATTTATCCTAAAAAATAATATTACTTCATCTCAGATCACAGAGGGTGTTTCTCAATGCCAAGGAACCTTGCCTTGATGTCTTGGCCCCGCCCCAGTTGCTTAGGAGATACGTCATCGGGAGCCGCCAAGACACGTTCCGATCGGTTCCAATGTTCATGTTCTACCGAGGCATGTGTTCTCCGTTTGTTAGCCCTTTAGCTAGCTGAGCAAGGATACAGGTGTCTTGTAGCCTAGCCTTGGTCAAAAATTACCCACAATACACCGCAGTATTTTCAAAAAGACAGCGGATCAGAAGCCGGCAGCTACTTCGGGGACAAATTTCAAGTTTAAAATTAAGTCAACTAATTTAAAATGTTTTTTTTTTTTAGATCCAAAGAAGTTATCTATTGGTGGTTAGTTGCTTAGTAGTTGCAGCTTCAGTGGCTAGTGGGTAGTAACTCGTTTATATTTTTAATTTAATAAACATGTAAGCGGGTGATGTGTTGTGCGCATGTGCTGTTAACTTTGAACTGCTGGACTGGAGGGTGGAGTCACTAGAGTATCTGTGGAGACATTCATTCGTTCACAGGCTGTTGTGTTAACTGGTGAAGCTCCCAAATAAACGGAGACGTGCTCCCGTACTCCAAAGGTATTTTGCCTAGCTCTTCTTTGTCCTGAGACCACGAGCTTGAACCTCTACAGCTCGCCCATTACATTGGTGGCAGCGGTGTTAGGTGACGTTTACCCCCGGGACGTGGCTCGTGAGAAGGCTACGCAGGACCATGTTCGGAAGGCTCTTTTACCGGTATGGACGAGGACAAGCATAGCCCAGTTTGGAATGAGGATGTGTGTAACGACAAAGTGGAACTGGCCACGCCATTTTGTGGCAACGGTCGTAAACTCTTCGCTACTTGGATTAAACAGTTTGAGGCTGCCGTTCGCGCCCAAACCCGAGGAGCGGGAAGACGGAGCTACACCGCCACTTTGGCTGCTCTTTTGCCCACTAGACTGGACAGGGCCGCTTTTCTTTTGTGGGACAGCCTCCCTGCAGCTACGCAAGGTGACTTTGACCGTGTTAAAGAGAAGTTAAATGAGGCATTTGGACAGAAACAGTTCATATTGTACTTTCAG